GATGAAGTAAAAACCTTTTTTAAAATTTTTTTTTATACATCTACAAATAAACAAGAGTCGCTGAGACTTTTGAAGGGCCTGGTTCTTTAGCGTTAGCGCCGTTTCCTCACAGGAGGAAATAAATCACGGCCTGAACAGATGGTCGTGCTCCGCAGAGTTTCGCGTTCTCCCCAGGTGTTCCCGGGTTTTCCCTGAATTCCCTGGTTTTCTGCCACAGTCTCATGTGTAGACGGGCCGTGAGGTTAAATGGGCCAGACTAAGACACATTCAGGTTAAATACCCGGCCGCGGCCCCAGCGTCTGGTTCTGTTCACCGTTCTCTGTTTGAATATTCCGAGCCTCACATTTGCAGCTTTCCCCTCTAACGATCTCTCTGCTGATTCTTTCGGAGGATGTCAAGGACGTGTCGACCTTGAACTCATTCCTTGTCCATCATATTAATGAACCTTATTACCATTATTATTCATTGTCCAGTGGATCCTTGGGGCTAATTTGAGTAAAAGATGCTCAGTTGGACAGTTGATTAATTTATTGATCTCTTCTTCGCTCTATTATTTCTCACACTGATGCAGCTGTTACCCACTGAACCCCATTAGGGGAGATGGAGCGGTGCTGTTAATAATGCATACTTTTACCAGCAGTTTTTTTTTAAGTTGTCTCTTTAAAGGTAGGACAACCAAAGCCTGATGTCTGAGTCTTAGATGAGTAATTTAATATTGTCTCAGCCTTTAGGAAAAACCAACAGCTGGGATTGACATAACAGATTAATGAAGATTATATGCAGTGATTACTGACCACAGGACAAATCTAGATGACCTGGTGTCCCATTAGAGAGGCAATAAATCAAGCCGTGTCACGGGAGACCCCTGTGGAGTAGCTCGGAGCAGAGAGGTGGCCATTCAGGTCACCGCTCACATGACTGGAGAAACAGAAATAGCTCAAGGTTAAAGACGTGTTTGATGTGAGGAGTACTCATCTGTGTACTTTATATACCATGAAACAACGACTCAGACTGATTCATCAGAATATTTTAATATTTAAAATCCCGACTCCCCCCCTCCTTCAGGAGGTGGACATTAGTCATTGAGACCACAGCCCTTCAGTGGAGATGCACTCCTCCGTCGGTAGAGAACTGTGGCCAGGCCGGGTTCTCACGTGGGATTACACTCCAGGCCGGGGTCTCACATTCTTAGTTTGCTTCTGATGCAAACATGCAGATCACCCCCCACATGTAGAGGGCTGACCCCTCTTTTGAAGAAAAGCGTGCAGATCCGATGCTTACTGACCCCAACCTGCCTGGGCTTCCACTGCCACCTCCCCGTCCTCTCTCTGTTCTCCATCCATTTTCCTCACCCGTCCATCCACCCCGCGTCTGGCGTGGGAAACTACACCTGTGGCTCTCCCAGATGTCGCCGTGGTCACATCCTCTAGTTTCCCCAGGAATGGCCTTCTGTGTTGACGCCTTCGTTTGTACCTGCATAAGAGTAAAGGATTAGCTTTAGGCTAATTTGTCAGATGTGATGAGGGAAAAAAAAAAAGTCGACATGTTGATATACGAGAATCGAGGATTTTTATATTTGGTAAATGTTTTTAATTGTCCGGTAAAAGAAAGGGAGATTCTTTGTATGACGGTTCTTACAAATACATTCTGCAGGAGAGAAATATATTTTTAAATATATGTCGTTCTAACAGTCCTGCCTTGGCTCAGTGGCACACATGCTGACACTAATTGTCCTTCTGCTGACTCTGTCCCTTCATGCACAATGGTTTTGATTGGGATGGGGGTGAGTTACGGTGTTGGGGACAAGGGTCTTTGTTCAGTAGCATCCCCCCTCCCCTTTTCCTCCCACACTCCTCCCTTTTAGCCCCCCACCCTGCCCATCCACCTATCTTGTTCCATCCATTTGGGCAGCTGTCACTTAATCCAGCTAATCACAGACTCGGATGGTCTGTGGGAAACCAGACTGGTCCGTGGCTTTGCTGCAGCCCAACTCACTCACACCGGCTCAGTGGGTGGGGGGGTCGG